AAAGCCCTGCAGGAGAGAGAACATCCCTCTAGGTGCTGAATCGCTGCAGGGAGAAGGATCAGTGTAAATAACAAGACTCTCAACCTGGCATCTTGCCCCGTGCAGAGATTTTGGGGAATGCTGCGTGCAGGGATTGGGTGTCGTGGCTGGGTCAGGAGGCTGCAGGAGCTGGTGTTTGTGCAGGCAGGCTGTCTGCAGGAGCTGGGACAGACCCCGTGGTGCCAGTGGCTCCAGCTGCTGCTTTTAGCACAGCCTGCTCCTCCTGGTGCCACACTTAATCTGCCAGTGGCACCCAAATGTCTTGTGGGACGCCAGGGCTGTGAGCTGGTGCCAGAACAAGATTATAGCTGGGACTTAGTCCCAGAATGGTGGGTAATTGCATTTATAAGACAAGCCTTGTCTATGTATAAACACAGGGTTTCTCTGCTTCTAATTATTCCCTGGTGTCCCTTTCATGCCATTGCTTTCCTGCTACACAGAGATTGACTTTCAACATTTGCAACTGGAATTAAATCTTTCTAAAGGCTTTTGGCAGAAACTATGCCAGTGAATCACAGACCCTGCAGGGTTTTCCTTTTCTCCTCGCAGGAGTCGTGCTGTCTAAATAAAATTATTTACTGTAATAAAATACCCAGTGATACCTTTAGAAAATTCCTGGCTGTGGAGGGGAATCAGCAGGCACGGCTGGGATTTCTCTGGGGTTTGAGGCCTCAGGAGAGGGGTTGGGGTTGCTGTGCCCTGCTCTCACAATGCTCTGCTCTGCACCACAGGTTTCTCACCTGATTTTGCCAAGTGCCTCCCTTGATGAGGACCCAGATGGAACACACGGGCAGCAGGAGCATCTCTGTGAGCTGGGTGCCACCAGCAGGGCTCCAGGAAACTCAGTTCTGGCTTTGAATTGCTTCTGCAAACCCTTGGTCAGGCCAGGGAGGGGACAGGACCTCCTTGGGCTGGCAGCTTGTGCTGTCCCCTGAGACAGCAAAACGGTTTCCAAGTGTTCTCCTAACTCGTGTGATCTCAGAGGGATTATTTTGGTTTCAGAGATGCTAGAAAGGAGAAAGGAGACTCCTGGCCAGCTGCAGGACTGCACTGCTGGCACTCACAGCAGCCAAGCAGCAGCCTGGGATGTCAGAACACGTGACAGTACTTTGCCCAAGGGCTGGTTCTGCACATTTATTTCTTTTTTATACAGCAGTTTTGTGTGTTTATTACTCAGCCTGGAGCTGCTTCAATAAATCTGAATAAAATCCACTGTGTCCCTTGCCTGTTCTGTGTGCTTAAGGTGCAGTTTTCCCAGCCCACACTTGAGACCATATTTAGTAGAAGAGTGAGGAGCATTCCCTGCTGCAGTGCAAATCAAGGGCTCAGATCTTCCTGTGCCTTTGTAACTTGGGACTGAGGAAAGCTCAGATCTCACACTGCCTTCTGCCTTTGAAGGAGACACAAATCTCTTCGAAACTTCAAAGATTAAGGTATTTTCTGCCCTTTCCTGGTCACTGTGTACAGAGTGGGGTTTCCTCATTATCCAAAAGAATGGGAGAAGGTGCTGCTCCTTCTGTCCCAAAGGGCAGCTGTGCTTCAGTGCCTGGGAAAGGAAAGCTCTGCCAAGGAGAGGAGGTGAGACAGGAACCAGCATGGTCAGAGGAAACAGGCACCAAAGGTACAACCAACTGTCTCACCACAGAAGCACGGTTTGGGTGTGATCCATTATTTCAGAATTAAATAAATCAATGTCACAACTCTTCCGAGCTGCTTGCACAGGCAAGAGCTGGCAGGAAGGGAAGGAAGGGAGCTGCCCTGCTGCTGGGGGCTGGAGCAGATGCATCAGCTTCATTTCCACCCCCTTTTCTGATTCTTTTGCCATTTTCAGCCCCCAGGCTGGGCCTTTTTCCTGCACCCTTGTTGTGCCTCCTCTCCATGGCTGGCTGAGCCCAACAGGAGCTGTCAGGCTGCAGGGAGAGGAGCCCACAGGCAGCAGCAGCAGGGACACAGACTCATTTTGATGAGAAAAGGCTGTTTAGATCATGGAATCCAACCATCAGCAGCTCCCAGCCTGGCTGTACCTTCCAAGAAGGGAAAATCACAGCACGGGACTCTGTCTGGAATATCTCCAACCCTGTTATCCAGCCAGGAGCTGCCTCACCTTTGTTACACCTCCAGCTCCTCCCGAGGGCTGGACAGAGCAGGAGGAGTGGAGGTTTCATTCATAGCCATTTCATCAGCAGCTGTTTGGTTTGGTTTTGTTTGGTTGATGCTGCCAAGCAATCAACGCTGGCTGCCCGCCACATCCGCCCCCTGCTCGGGGATGGAGCAGCCTCCAGCAGCACAGATCCGTCTGCTGGGCCTCCCCTCAGCCAGGTTAGGGCGTTCTCAGCTGGGGGAGAGTGAGAGTCTGTCAGAAATATCCCTCATCTGCCTCACCATTGGCATTGGGGACCACTGAAGAGAAGACCCCCCTGTCTAAAATCTCTGGCTCTGAAGGAGAAAGTCACACGCCAAAGGCCTGAGAGCTGAGAGCTCAGTGTTAAGTTCTTGTTTTTGCTGTTGTTTGCTGTGTGCTACACTGACCCAATGAGAAGAAGAAGGGGGCACTGTGCCCTTTGTGCAACAACAGCTTTGGGGCTGTCCCACCTCTCGGCCTGGCTGGATTCTCCTGAGTTTCAGGTGGTCTCCCCACAGAAGACCCTCACCTGTTTTACACCCACCATGACAGACAGACTAAGATGTAAGGAGCCTCTCCATCAAGGACTGAGACATGGAACCACCATCTGAAAAGGCCCCTCTGCTCCTCCCAAGGACTGGGACTGAAACTGAAACCCCCAGCCCGGGGCAGGTGGAGGCAAGCTGACCAGAGCGAGATGTTTGCCTGCAGGTTGTGACTGCTGGACCAAGAAGACAATGGCTCTCATTTACTGCTGAGAGCATGGACTACCTGTTATATCTGCTCCCTATTGTATCTGTTTTCCCCCACCCTCTCACAATTTCCAATAGAATTATCATAATAAAAATCTCTGAATTAGCTAGAGATTTTGAGATCTCCCCAACATAATAGGCGGATCCTTGGCTGGACTGGACCAAAGGACTTTGTCTCTACTTTGTTTGGTAGCTATATCCCTCTCTTTCTCTCTCTCTTTTCTCTCTCTTTTTTATCTCCCTTTATCCCTCTATCCCATGTTGCTGTGGTCATTCAACAAAGCTGCATTTGTTTTGATTATCACTGCAAACCCCCTTGTACCGTGTCGGTTCTTTGCACCCTGAGATCAATCCACGAACCATCATGAACCCCGTTTGTGAGGATGGATCGTGACAGGGAGGGAGCCCCAGCTCTGCTGCTGCTGTTCCCTCCTTTCAATCCAACTCCTGTCAGGGAAAACCAGAGCTCTGAGCACACCTGGGCAGCTCCAACACAGCCAGCCCGGGCTGCTCTGCTTGGGTTCACCCTCCCCGTCCTGTCCCTCCTGCTCCTCCTCCTGCTGGCAGGAACCAGCTCCCAGCTCCAGGAGTGCCCTGGGGAAACCAGGGAGCTTCACTGCTGCGTGCCTGAGCTGTCCCAGCAGACCTGTTCTCCCAGTTTGACATTTCCATGCTGGATCTGCTTCAGTGCCAGCGCCAGGAAGGTTCAGGCCAGCTGAGCTGGAGGTGAATTTGGTTTAGAGGTGAATTTGGTTGCTGGGTAGAAATCCTCGTGAATTAATAGAATTCATTTAGAATATCAGCATATCTCAAACCTAGACCTCTCCTAGCTCAGATCCCCCACTAACAGAATTCCCACTAACAGAATTCCCACAATATTCCCATTCAGATCCCCCATTAATAGAATTCCCCCACTAATAGCATTCATCCCCCATTAACAGAATTCATTTAGAATATCAGCATATCTCAAACCTAAACCTCTCCTAGCTCAGATCATAGCTCAGATCCCCCACTAACAGAATTCCCACTAACAGAATTCCCACTAACAGAATTCCCACTATATTCCCACTCAGATCCCCCCCTAACAGAATCCCCACTAATAGAATTCCCCCACTAATAGAATTCATCCCTCATTAACAGAATTCATTTAGAATATAAGCATATCTCAAACCTAGACCTCTCCTAGCTCAGATTCCCCACTTTGTGTCTGCACCTCCAGCTGCAGGAGTTAGACCCCAGCCCAAAGTCACACCTGGAAGATGTGATGCCACGTGGGCATCACAAGGCTCAAAGGCAAAACATTCCAAGTGGGACATCACTGTCCCATGGGATGCTCCTCTTCTCACACAAAGCCTAGAAGCCACCACAACCAGAGAAACAGACTGATCCAGCTCCCTCCTGGCCACAAGACAGACAGACAGACAGACAGACAGGGTTGATTTTAAGGGAATTGCTGCTTGGCTTTGTAGGTGCCTTCTGCTCGAGAACCAAGACAGCATTGTGGCCTTTCTCCCTTCCAAGCACAGCAGTGGCTGAGAAATTCCCCTTCCTGGTTAAGATGGGATGTGGATCATGGAAATGTTCTGCAGCACACCCACCTCACATCTTACAAGGATAATTAATGGCAGCCCAGGAAAAACATAATGACACACAATGTGGTTTTGTTCATGATTTCCAATGTTCCAGAAGGGAAAAGGGACATTGCACACCTGAAATTCCCTGGCAGATCTGCATTTCATGTGTAGTCCTCTGGGATGGCTTCAGGTCTGGCCAGACACTGCTCCACACAGAAATGAATCAGCTGCTGTCTGACACGGGAGAGGCACATCCACACTGTGCTGTCTGCAAGGAGTTTCCATGGTCCTGTGCACAGGGAATCATGGAATGGTTTGGGTTAGAGGGACCCCAGAGCCCATCCAGTGCCATGGCAGGGACACCTTCACTGTCCCAGGGTTCTCCAAGCCCTGTCCAGCCTGGCTTGGGACACTGCCAGGGATCCAGGGGCAACAACCCTGTGCCAGGGCCTGCCCACCCTGCCAGGGAACAATTCCTGCCCAATATCCCATCCATCCCTGCCCTTCTTCAGCTTAAAGCCATTCCCTGTGTCCTGGCACTCCAGACCCTTGTACAAAGAGCCCCAGAACAAAGTGATGTTCCTCTGTGACAGCCCTAGAGTGGGGACCCTGTGTCACACACTCCAGCACTGCCAGCTCCAGCAGGGTTTGGCTTTCATCCTCTGCCAGATCCCACGGGCACAGCAGCAGCAAACAATGCAGGACAGGCCCCACACCCCCCATCTGCCGAGCCTTGGGCTGGCCCCATGGCTGGGGTGAGAAACGAAACCGGATTTGAGTCACAGAGGGAAGGGGAAGGCAGCAAGCAGCACATTCCCACTGTGGAGCCAACATCCCCTGTGCATGTTTGTCCTGCAGCATCTGGCTCCCAGATGAATCCCAGATGCACGCATGGGAACCATCAGCCTCGTCTCACCCACATGAAAGAGGGAGGTTTAGCATAAAGCTGGTCATTGCCCATGGCCCCGGCGTGATTCATCCGCAGCAGAATGCGGTTTGGGTTTCGGGTTAATTAGCTGCAGGTTGGGGAGGAGGCACGGCAGGGCGGGGAGAGCGGGGTGTGAGGGCTCTGAAGGCGCTGTGTGTGTCCTGAGGTCACACCCGGCCTGGAGCCACAGCCTCGCGTGTCACACGGCAGCGACAGCGTCACCAGTGCCACCCCAGGTGTCTGCCATGCCCAAGGCGTGTCTGCCCTGCTGCTGGGGCAAACACCGAGCCAGCAACACCCACACACCTTGGAACGGGACGGCTGCAGCAGCACCGAGCTTCTAACACATGCAAATTCTGCCCGGGATTTAAACTTGCCTCTGCTGAGCTCTGGGCAGCTCCCAGTGGGAATCGGCGCTGCAGGGATCCCTCCTGGCCGTGTTAACCCTGCATCTCCCTGATCCAGGCTCCTCTTGCCTTCCTGGAAACAATTCCTGCAATTCTGACTGCACAAGGCGCAGTGCAGCTCCTCTTAGCTTCTCTCCTAAGCTCTCCCTCCCTGCTGTCCCCCACAAAACCACTTTGATTCCACTTCTTGCTGCCAAAAAGTATTTAGAAATGGACATGGGGTGGCTGGCCTTGCTGTGGTGGCACAGACACGAGGTCTGGGAGCACAGAGGCAGTGCCCGATCTCCAGCAGGCACTGTGGCTCAGCTCCCAGGAGCTCCACAGATGGAAGAAATATTTTCCTAAAAAGAGCACAGGCAAAAGCTTCCACACACACTCACTTTGAGACGTCATCCTCTCACATGACAGCTCCCATAAAGACCAAACTTTGAACACTGGTCTGTCTAGAAGTCTTTGATTATTTATGTGTGTGGAAAAGTAGAAAAAAATTTTGTTTTTCCAGTTTGCGTCAGAACCCAGATGTCACAAGCACTTCAGAGGCTGACAAACGCTGCCTTGTTTTACTGCTCCTGCACACAAAGGCCCAGGGACCCCCAAAGTGCTTTGATAAGCCCCAAAGGCAGGGACAGGCAGATCAAACCCTGGCTCAGGGTTTTCCTCAGCCCTGATTGCAGCAGGATTCCAATGGCAAACCCTCCCTCCTCCCTGAGAGCACCAATCCAAGGCCCTGTTCTCCCACTGTCTCCCTGGTTTTACATCTGTTCTGCTCTCTAGAAACGACTGGAGGTTGCAGCTCTTGGGTTTGCTTGCCAGCTGTGCCAGCAGTGGGGATTTCAGCAGGAAATTCAGCGCTGGGAAGAGCAGCCCCAGGCTCTGGGATGGGGCTGCCAAACTGGCACGAGCACCGGGGAGAAAGTTTCTATTTTTGTTCTCCTTGTTCCAAGTGGGAACCGATACTGCCTGGGACAGAGCCAGGCATGTTCTCAGGCTGGCACCATGCAAAGCACCTCCATGCTAATGTAAGCAACTTAACCAAGCTCTCTCTCTCTCTCACCAGCAGAGTTCAGATGTTTGGGAGCAGCTGATCTTTCCCTCAGGTGTTCACTCACTGCCAAGGGCTGCAGTTATTTGTATTTCTGCACTGAATATCTCCTGTGCTCTGTCCTCTCCTTTGGAAAAACCTCACAGTTTTGTTCCTGTGGCAAATGAGAAGCACGTGAGAAGTGGCAGCTGCTTTGATCTTCATTCAAACAGAAAACAACAATAAATAATTATATAGATATGAAGGCAGAGAGTTTTTAAATGTTCTTTTTTTTTATTGCTAGAAGTTGGTTTCAGTCCTATTGCAGCTCTGAAATCCTTCAGTGGAGAAACATTGCAATCATTGTAAAAATCATCATTTGGTGTGCTAAGATCATGTTTACAATTAATCAAGAGTGCACAATTCAACAGAATATTAACATTTAACCATCAACTTTACAAATAAAATAAAGACTACAAAGATGTTGCTACTGCAGTATCAACAGTAAAGGAAATATTTACAATGTTTACACCCTAACGAAAAAACAAAACCAAACTCTTCCCCAACAAAATGGTCAATTTAACCATGGACCATGATTATTTATTAAATCTTTACAGTGCAAGGTGGGCCTAGAAACCAGACCTAAGACTAAAGAGTGTCAAGAGAGTTCACAGCTCTGAGTGAGATGCACGCAGTTATGCCAACAGGATCTACACCCATGAGAGATCTCCTTCCGGCTACAGACAGAAATGGAATTTGAAATCAACTTTTCTAAAGTGCTCCAATTTCTTTCAGTACAAAAATATAAAAAACTGATTTATAAACATGGCACAAATGTTATGAACCAGAGCTCACACGTGC